TCCATCCATCCATCCATCCATCCATCCATCCATCCATCCATCCATCCATCCATCCATCCATCCATCCATCCATCCAAGCCCTGTTAAACATTAATATAAAACATACAGGAAGTGGCCCTTGAGGACCAGGACTAGGCACCACTGGTTTTGTTCTTCCTGCACCAAGTCACTAGATGGTCAGTCTCTCACCAGCTACTCCTCATCTGAGATGAGACCAGTGAGRATTTTCAAGAGTTTGACTGCTTGGTAAAGGTGTTGGTGTGCAGAGAGAAGAGGAGTGAAGAAAGGACAGCTTTGAGGTGATTTGGTGATGGTGGTTTGAGGGTCTGACATGTGCCCTGCTGAGCTGAACACAAGAGATTCCAATAATCGATTGGACCAAGGATGATAGCTTGCTCTTACATGTTGAAAAGAGCGAGTAGCACAAAGCTGAATAGMAACATACTGAATCACTATGTCCCCCTTGATGGAGGCCTTGCAGTCCTTTATGGAGCACAAGAAACTAGACAAGAGCATCTATCAGTATGTGGTTCATTAAATACTGACTTCCAATTTTGTATCTTTTTTTGTTGTATTGTTCAAACAAGTAAAATTTTCCATCTGTTCAGGTTCCTAAATTAAATTTWTTATTATTATTATTTGGACAGGATTGGGGACAGCATTACTGGACTACTAACACTCAAATTGAACATTTAGGATCTTATAATCACTAAATTAACTCAGATGTTTTTGTAGTGAATTACTCCATGAAATCCAGGACCAGCCTAATCTTTCATAAAATAATCCCTCAAGATCTTGCAAAATGAAACCCGGTCTAATGAAATACACCTCTGATCACGAAGTGAAAAATGAAAACTTGTGACCTGGTCAGATTTCTCAAAATAAAGTAATTTATTTTAGATATATGAACAGAATAAACATAAACATTTTTTAAAAATATTATATGAATAAATGACACAAGTTATATATTTTCGGCACAAAAATTCCACTCAGAATTGACAAAAACAGTAAATTTCAGGTGTTGTAATTTACTGGTACGCTACTTGACTAAGTTTTTAAGTAAATAAGAGAAAAAAGGTAAAGATTTAAGTTAAGAATAGGAGGAAGGAGAGAAATTAGTGAATTTAGCACTGTTCTTAATAAACCCTGACCAGACCAGCAAACAGCGTCAGACAGAACATCTCTGAGGGCTAGACTTTCTTCGACGTTTATCTCAGTGAACACTTTGTCTACCTTTTGATGTCTTGACAAAGACCGCAGGCAGGTGGACGGTTTTGAGAGAGAGTCGGCACACCAGTCCGCCACAGATGGATGATGTCTTCATGACAGCAGGGGCTGAGGAGACTCCTGTCTCGCCCCTAACGAACCTCAGTGGCTCAAAGTGCTTGGTCTCAGTCCAGTGCTTCTCGGGCAGTTAGTGACTTTCATCAGAGTTCACATCCATACAGGCAGGTGTCCAGCCGGACAACCCAGGGAGAGACCCAGACAGAATCATCCGCTCTCCATCCAGACGAACAACGAACAACTACTGTTAACTG